GCGCGCGCGATGCCTGCGCGCGCAGGAAAATCAAAATCCACCGCGCAGTTAGGGTTGCGGCAAAACACCACCACATCTGTACATTTTTGCAAAAAAAACCCTGGCGGGGGCAAGTTTAGGTTAAAGCCTAAAAGTTTGCCTACTATTATAATAGGATCTAGGCACAGGATGGGGGACGGATTCCAGGGGTTCTGTTTGACGGATTCCAGTCGTTCGCTGCTCGCTTAGACGACGCGCTAAACGGAATAAGGAAGTTAGGGTTACGGAAAGCCAGTGATCCGTGGCCATATATCGGATAGTTACTATAAATTACTATAATCTACTATTATATAATATGTTTTATAGTTTTTTATAACATGGTCCACAAGCGAATGTTCAACACAAGCGAGTGTTCCGCCCCACCACCAAATTTAACTTCAAAGACTATTAATTCAACAACGCAAAAATATACTATATAAAATAAACTACTATAGGATTATTTAATATCCTTGCATGTACAAGAGTTATGCCCAGGCTTGTTGCAGCGCTTGCAGCGCCGTGCGCGCGCTGCGCTGCTTTTAGCAGTTAACTCCTCCTAAGGCATTTTGCTACCTCCTGCTATACTAGCAAGCTTCTGAGTACTCAACTCAGAGCCCTAATAACCTGTTAGAGTTCCTCCTTTCTAAATTCGCTTTTTTTTACGCTGCTTGCGCTTTGTGGCTGCCTCACAGGCCCTCTCTAGGGCAGCTGCTCGATCGCGCTGTAGAACAGCAACATAAGCCATCTTAGTAGCGCCCTTGCTTAGCTGCTTTGCTAGATTAAGCATAGCAGAAGGAGACAAATTCTAATGCCTTTGAATCTAATTGTATAGTAGAGTTGACTGAGCCTTAACCTTATGAGGATCGCCAGGTGTTTGAGCCTCCCAGGCAGTATTTGGTGGTGGAGTAGCTGGCTGATCAGGTAGCCGTATATCGAGCTTTGAGAGCACCAGCTCTGGGTCAAATAGGACTAGTCCTGTAGCTCTAAAGCCTGCGCGGATATTATCTGTTGTAATTAAGCGACTAAATGCTGCCTTAAAGGCTAGTAGAAAGGTCAGCTTGTCGATATGGTTGATCTAGTGGCAGATTAACCAGCTGATCTCAGTACCGTACGCGCGCTTTAACAGCGAAAAGCAGCCAACGTCAAGCGGCTGTAGAATATGTGACGCGTGTGCTGGCATACAGAGCGCTATAATACGCCTCTGCTTGCAGAGCTCTAGGAATTTGACAGAGTGATGGCTCTTATGGCCATTAAGAATAAGCAGCCGCCATAAGCCTACTAAGCGATCTTTTGTGTGCAGATTAAAGTGCTCTAGCCATGCAATTCCATGTTTGTTAGTTGTCCAGCTGTTGTTGCTAACACCAATAGCCCAGTCCTTTAGTATATCCTCATCCTCATACCAGGCAGATAGGTGATGCTTGCCTTTGAAGATTGCGTACGGAGGTATTGCCCACCCATCTGCGTTGATGCCTGCAATAACCGTCACCCATTCACGGTCGCCTGGCTGTATAGCCTTTGGCCGATTACGTCTATCCGTGCCTGTGACGACTATTTGGCTCAATATAACCCCTATCTGAAAGCCTGTCTTGTCAAAATTATACGTGTCCTGATCTACAATGCCGTACTTTAATTGTGTAGCCTCTACAAGCTCAAACCACTTGCTTATAATTGCTAGATCTTCGCATTTCGCTTGTCGGTAATCGTACGGTCGGCTGAGGTGGGTTTTGACTGCTGGCGTACGCGCGACAAAGTTGGATGGCCAGTTGATACCTGCTGGTGGAGCGCCGCGCTCAGTAAGAAGCTTGTTGGCCATCTCTCGTACAGCACCTAGAGTAGGCGCAAATCCTCAGGAATCTAGATCAAGTATATGCTTAATAATCACCTCCTCTTCTAGCTTTGTGAGCTTCTTGTTGTTAGCCGTACAGTCGCGTCGCATAGTCATCCCTGCGCGTCGTCGGCGGAGAGCCATTCGATTGACATTGTAGAGTGCTGCAGCGCGCCTCTCAGTTAAAGACGCGTCTCTATTAAGAGCTTGAATAGCTAGGTTAATTCTAGCCTCTTTTGAATATGATTGATCGTATGGTTGTTGATGCATCGCGGTTGGTAGTAGGTTGGCTGCGTTTTGGTGGTGGGGCGGAACACTCGCTTGTGTTGAACATTCGCTTGTGGACCATGTTATTCTATGTTTTTTATACTATATGTTTTTTTAAACTAAACTTTTTTAAAATTATATCTTATTTCTACTATGTTTTTATACTATGTTTTTCTCTACACTACATTCTTTTATATACTATATCTTTTTCTATATAAGTAACTTTTATTATTATAATACTAACTATTTTATCTTATACTTAAAATCTTATATATATTCTTTTATTTATTAATCTAATATTTTTTAGTTTAGTTTTATCTATTATCTTTATATATCTTTTAATATACTATGTTTTTTTATACTATGTTCTTTTTTATTTTATACTATAGATGTTTTTTTATTTTTTTTTTCTACTATAATTTTCTTCTTATATATATGTTTTCTTTTATAGCTTTTTTAATATATACTTTTTTATTTTATAACTTTTTATATTTTATACTTTAACTTAGTTTATTACTTTTATTTACTTTAAATTTTATAATTATTTTATTAGTTTTTTATATTTTAATAGCTTTTTTTTATATTTTATAATATTTTACTATATTTTACTATAATGTACTATAGTTTACTATAATATACTTTTGCTTACTATAATATACTATAATTAACTATAATATACTATACTTTACTATAATATACTATAATCTAATACTATCTTCTTAATTTACACTAGCTAAGTAAAAGTTACTATAGTTTACTAGTCTTATATCTCTTTCTTAAGAATAGAACATTTACTTTAACTTTAGAGACAACTTTATATATAAACAACTTTATAATAGCACTTAATTACTAATCTGCTTTACTACTTAAACTAAAGGTTACTAGGCTCTAGTATTACACATAGAAAATCTATTTATTAGATCTATTTTGCTAATAGTTATAGCTACTAAAGACCTTACACAGTAACTTATTATATAAGATAATACTTTAAATAATAAGAATTATATTAATTTTATAAAAAAGCTTCTAAAGCTTAAGAAGTGTAATAAAACACTTAGTAATTAGCTATGTAAAAAGCGCTAGTAAGGCTCTTTTTACTATATACCTTTTTTTAAAATAACTTTAGAAACTATTTTAAAAGTTAACTTTAAAAAAAACTAACATTAACTTAGTTTTCTAACATAACTTTAGTAACACACTAGATAATAGCTTTAATAATAAGCTACTATTAGTTATTAAAGTCTGTCTATAAATAGGTAATATAGCTATAGACTTTAAAACTAATAATAATAATTTTAAGTAAGCTATAACTACTTAGCACACAGCTTTAATTAATTATAAGCTTTAAAAAAGAAGAATTTACATATACTAGATCTCTACTACAAACATGCTGCTTAATAGCCTTACTAAGTTTCTACTTTAATAAAAGTATTAAGTGTTTATTAAATAACTAGGCTTTATTTACTTAAGTAATACTTTAAAGGCTTACTTTACTAATATTAGCTTTAAAGCCTAAGCTTACTAACTTCTTTTTACTATTTTACACTTTTAAGTGCACTACTGTACACCTACAGTCTATTATTTCTCTTTATATAGCTTTACTTTAGTATTTACTTTGTTAAAGCTAGGGGGGGGTGTTGCGCGTGTCTTACGCGATATTATACCTATGTACTACACTATTTACTTATTAGGCATAGCTTTTATTTTATATAGTATATAGTTAGCTTAGAGCTCTATTAAGCTTTTTAGACTTTATAATACACTTATTTAATTTACTTTATTTAGATCTTACTACTTTATTAACTTACTTTTTATATAACTTTTTTTTAGCTTATATAAAAAAAGCTGCTAGTTCTAGCTTTAGTATATAATAGCATTTTAGTTTAACAGCCTAACAGAGCCTAAAAGAGTGTTAAGACTATATTATACTACCTTTAAGTTACTTAACTTTACTATGCTTTATTATTCTAAACTAGCTACTAGTTCTAGCTTTAGTGTGTGTAATAGCATTTTAGTTTAACAGCTTAATAAAGCCTAAAAGAGCATTAAGACTATATATAACACTTTTAGCTTACTTAACTTTACTATGCTTTATTATTCTAAACTAGCTACTAGTTCTAGCTTTAGTGTGTGTAA